TCTCTCTCTCTCTCTCTCTCATTTTTCGTTTTTCTATCTCTCTCTCTCTCTCTCTCTCTCTATTTAGGTACTAGGCAATTGAAACGATCGAAACCTCTTCGTCGAGCAAGAATTGGAGCGTATAAACTGATTATCAGAATTGTCACGAGTTAAGCGTATGGTACGTTCGAAAGGAAAATCCGATCGGAAATTTTCCGTTAGAAAACGAGAGGGTTTGAGGGTGACGCTCGGTGATGTGGGAGGAGTTGAGGGGAGGATATTTTTCACCGGAAGGGGCAAAAAAAAAAGTGGAATGAGGGATTGTAATTGACCACGGCGATACGTATTAACGACGTTTCCAACGGGAACTCCAATTTTTCGATCGTTTCCGAAAGTAGAATCACCGGGCTGCTGCGGTCCTGTCAATCCGTACGATTCGAGCATCGAATTTTCCCATAGAAATTGCGATAGTTTTCGATTCGGTCGACGATCGAATGACGCTATACGTTTTACACATCGTCTCTCTCTCTCTCTCTCTCTTTCTCTCTTTTTCTCTTTTTTTCATCTTCTTTTTCTTTTTCTCGCTTTTCTTTATTTCTCTGCTCCGCATCCCCCATTTTTTATCCTTATTCACTTTATACAATTCTACTTAAATTTTATATTGGACTATCGCTATATCGACTTACAATTGTGATTTATTATTTATTATTTATTATTTTTATTTATTTATTTCCTTCATCTTCTTGTTTATGCGTAAAATATCATAAAATACATTCTTTATTATTTATTAGCTATGCTTTAGACTCGTCGTTCCGGTGAATCCGACTACGTCGACTTTCACGTAATGTGTATTATTATATCGGGACAATTTAATCGTCTTAGCATTTTTTTCTTTTTATTTTATTTTATTTTTCATTATTATACACGCCGATCGATCCAACGATGACATATCGAAGATCGATCACAAATATTCTCTACAATATATTATATATGTTTATGTATTTTTTAATGTGTATGTATGTAAATATTTTAAATACGTATTTTAATAATAAACATTTTGAAATATCTCCCGACGATCATTTGATGAAAAACTCTTTTCGGCATTATTAGCAAAATATTTCAACTCGATTTTTTGAGAGATATTCCGTTTATTTTTTATCATAATATCTTGTCCTCTTCACCCCCTTTCTTACGATCGTTCGACGATTTTGTTCAAAGTTTATTATTATTAATTCGAAATAAATAATTCGAGTTTCTTTTTTTTTTTTTGTTTTTCTTTTTTTTCTTTCTTTCGTTTAAACTGGGAAAGTTGCGATTACATAGCGCACACACGGAGACTTTTTATATTATTTTATTTATTTTTAGTGTTTTTTTTTTTTTTTATTCTTTATTTCACATCCATCGATCGTTAAGTTTTTTTTATTTTTATTATTTTTTTTTTTTATCTTAAGCCGTTTTCTTTTTCTTTTCTTTTCTTATCAACGCGAATAATATTGAAAATAGATGCTTTCTTTTTTCACTTTTACTTTCATTCTTTTATTTATTTATTAATCTTTTTTTTTTTTGTTTTATCTCATATCTTCTTATCCCTCCCTCTCTCTCCTCTTCCTTCCTTCCTTCCTTTCTCTCTTTTCTTCTTTCTCTGCTTTTTTTTTTTTTGTTCACCCTTTTATTTTGTTCTTTCCTTTAAATCATTAATTTCATTATTCTTTTACAATGAAAAGACGTCACGTTTGATGACACCTGGAACGACGAGTCGTGAATGACTGACTCACGACGACTTTCATACGAATCTATCGTTCGATAGGTACGAGCGACAAAAGGAATTTTTAACGAAAAAGCACGACGGCGGCACTAGTAAGCTTGCACGGACATGTCATACGCTACGGCGATCTTATAATTGTTCATTACACTGTGTTATTTTTTTTTAAATCTTTTTAATTAATTTTTTTTTTCCATCGTTAATTATTTAKCTTAACTTCTTTTTTTATTGTTGTTGTTGTTGTTGTTCTTCTTCTTCTTCCTAATCTTATTTTTTTTCAATTTAATATTCGTCTTAAACTTTTCTCTTAGAATATCTTACGCGCGTTTGCGAAGTATTTTGTTGGTTCGTATTATTCTCACGATTCGAGAACGTTGGAACACTTTTCCTTCGCTACGTTCGTTCATCGACTATCTATAATGCGAATTTCTCTCTCTCTCTCTCTCTCTCACTCACTTTCTCTCAATTTTTTTCTCACACTCTCTCTCTTTCTCTCTTTGTAAATGTCTAAAATGTAAAAAGTTTGCGCACGCGCACGTGTCTCTTCTTGGTTCCTTTGAGAAACGCGAATGTTGTATACACTCTTTTGTATTTTTATATATTTTATTGTTTTAATAAATTTTTTTTTTCTTTTAACCCATATTGAATGCGTATGTGTGTGTGTGCATTTTTTTTTCCCTCCGTCATAGACAAACGTAAATTATTTTTTTATATTAACTTGCTATACACCCTTTCTTTAAATAACAATAATAATAATATAATGATCTGCTAATTTAATCGGAAAATATTAGTAAAATTTATTCATGTTAAGAAGGTGTGTGTATGTATATAGTTTCATCAAAGTGTTAACAGAGTTGGACAACAAAATACACACACGCATGTATAAGCTGCCCACATACACGACAGTGAACTCTTCGGAACAAGATAGCTTCTAATTTTCCATTCGAATAAGAATTGAGGGAGAACGTAACTCGACTCGAAAGTCGTCGAATAGCATCACCACCAGCTGAGATAGAATCGCAAATGGAGTTCATTGTCGAATCTCGTGAAATGGAGAGCACCCGGGTTATATTTATCGACGTAACACGTCAACCCGTCACTTTGCTTTTTAGGCCGTTGAATCTTTTATAGTGACGCGTGACGTTTTATGCCGTTGTTGAAATAATTACGGCTTTATTATCAACCCCCTCGTTGCTCCCCAATCCCCTATCACACTCTCCCCTCTCCCTCCCTTGTTTCAACAATTTTCGGATCTTTCTTTTTTGTCATAGTAATTTAAACTTATTCGAATAGAGTTTTTTTTTTTTTATCTTTCGTATTTAAAAATGATTCGAATTACTTTTGTAATATTACGTTGGTATCCAAAATAATTATGGATTAACAGTTGTTGAATTATTTTCTATTATTTGAACCTTTTTCTTAAAAAACATTTTACGTAAATTTGATTGAATAATTAATTATTATTGTCTAATATTGATTCTACTGATTATCAAGGCTTTCATTTTTGTCATAATGTGTTTCGAATCAATGTTTCAATGATAAATACAATAAAAATTCAACGTGATAATATAAATTGAAAGTAATAATAATAATTCCGAATTATTTGAACATCAACGCAATATTTGGATCACATTAATATTGTGTATACCTATATATAATTGAAATTTGTCTTGACAAAAATGAATGATACGTGTAACGTTCGCGTTTCTGATCTCACAAGAAGAGACACTGGAACGGGTCAAGGAGATATAAGGAATACTTTGTACAAGAGCGTCCTGAACGGCGTCAGCGAAACCGAAAGTATGCTCGAAGAATTTCCTTGAAAACTGTCGAGGAGCGTGCTTTTATCATAAACGTAGGGATCTTCTCTTCTCTTCTTTCGCACATGGTTTGTTCCGTTGTTAAATACGAGGTCATCCCTTTGAGGCGATTTAATTAAAAATTGACGCTGAAATATAAGATAATAATATTATTTTTCATATTTTTTTTTTTTCTCTTTCTCTACCTCTCTCCCTTTTCTTCTACTTTTTCTTGTTTTCATTTTTCTATCATATTTAACAATGAATTTTTTTCTTTTTTTTTTTTTTTTTTTTTTTTGATTTTTTATTTACTTACGTTATCTGCAATTTGTTTTCCACGTATGTTTTATTGAAGTGAAATTTTTTTTAATTATTTCTTTTCTTTCATTTCTCGATCATTGTGTAATTCGATTCTCGATTCATCGTAGTAGACGCTGTAAAAAGGATTTTTCAAANCATATTTTTTTTTTTTCTCTTTCTCTACCTCTCTCCCTTTTCTTCTACTTTTTCTTGTTTTCATTTTTCTATCATATTTAACAATGAATTTTTTTTTTTTTTTTTTTTTTTTTTAAATAATCCAATAACCCCCGTACGAACGTTAACTTTAGAACGAGAAAATAATTTTCTTTTTTTTTTTTTTAATTATTTCTTTTCTTTCATTTCTCGATCATTGTGTAATTCGATTCTCGATTCATCGTAGTAGACGCTGTAAAAAGGATTTTTCAAATTTTCTTTTGCCGTTCGGATTACATTCGTTCGCCTCAAAGAAATCACCCGCTGTGTCTACCTAGGCTTGTACCTTATCATATCGAAGGACATATTATTGATCCTGAAAATCCTATTAGAGGATCTAGAGATGATCTCCTCGCGTGCGCTCTCTTCAGCGCTCTCTTCCTTTTTCTACATAAGTGAAATCTTTTCGTCCACGTGTTACTATTGCGAATTTTTCACGTGTCCTAGATAACATATGATGTCCTTCGAGATATCCTTTACAAAATATTTTTTTAATTTTCTTTTTATCACATCCCCATTCGTTGGTTTATCTCTTTACGTTTATCATCGAATCGTTCGACGCATACTTTCGTTTACACACGTTGATTTGTTTCCTTTTTTTTTCCTTTTTTTTTTTTTTACTCGTGTTTCAAAAAATAAGAAAGTTCTTAATTGGAAAATAAAATGAAAAAAAAGAAAAAAAAAAAAAAGAAAAAGAGTATAACAAGGAAATGACGTTTTTATCGATGAGTTTTAAACAAATCAATCCGTTCGTGAGATAAAGCTTAAATTACTTATTCCTATGTATATATATATATATATATATAACTCGAGTCGATCGAAACGAATTAACTGGCTGCTTCGAAAGGTTTTTCTTGGTCACGTTATATTATATATATATTTTTTCCTATCTTATAAAAAAACTAAACCACCATCGATAATATCGTCATCCGTGTATATTCTCTTTCTTTTTTTTTTTTTTTCTTTTTCTTTTTTAAACCATTAACTCAGACCGCAGAATTCGATTGGATCGATAATAAACATCTTCTTGCTATCCTCTTCTAGATTCATAGATCGATGCTTTCACGTTTCTTCGGGATAATCTGAAACAAGATAAGAGAAAAGAAGAAATTTTAATACAAAAAAAAAAAAATATAGAAGATAACGAAGAATAAGATGAAGGTATAAAAATCGAGTTAATATTTCATTATATTATTCATTTAAAAGTTTTCACTTAATAATTCTTTTTTAAAGAGTATAAAACGAAGATGAAAAAAAAAACAAAAAGAAAATAAAGTGAGAAAAGTAAGATCGATGATAAGAAAAACGAAAAAAAAAAAAAAATCCAAAAGGTTTTATGTGTTTCGAAGTGTTTTTAAAAAGCGAATGATAAACTTGATTCCAGGAACTAAAAAAAAGACATAACAGTATACAGGTAGGGTCACTGTTTTTTATAGATGATCTTTTAGTATTATACTACTTTTTCAATATGGTTGTTACCTAAGGATATCACTTTGATAGAATGTTGAGTGAAAAAAGAAGAAGAAGAAAAAAAAAGAAAAAGAAAACAAGATAGAAAAGAAAGGAAAGAAGTGAGGAAGATAGAAAAAGATTTCATCTTTTCGTAGCACCTTCTCTTTCACCTTTATCCTAAGGGTGTTCTTCCTAGCTATTTGCCATAATGGAAGATCTCTTTCCCCCTTTCTCTTGCCAACCATCGTTCTATCCCACACCCACCCTCTCCCCTAACTCTCTTTCTCTTTGTCTCTTTTCTTTAACGTGCTGGTACGTGTTGGTAGCGGTTCGAAATGGAATCGACGTGCTCGCGATAGTTTACTTCGTCTCGACTTTAACGAGAAGCTCGAATGCAAATTTCGTTTTATCGTTCGCACGAGAACATATATATTCATATATATATATATATACATATACATATATGAATATATACACAGACACTTATACGTAAGTCTATACATACGTTTATTCTGAGGGTTTGCGTTTTTAGCTAGCAAAAGAAGAAGAAGAAGAAGAAGAAGAAGTAGAAGTAGAAGTAAAAGTAGGAAAAAAAGGAAACCAAATAAGGGGGTGGTCTTAAATCTCTTTCCGCGCCTCGCGATCTTGACTTTAGTATTTCCCGTATACCTTTCATACTTTATTCTTTTATTTTTTTTCTTCTTTTTTTATGTTTTTTATTTTCTCTTTTCATTTTCTCATTTTTTTCTTTTTAAGACTTCGTTTTCTCGAATATACCCTACCAGCCTGTTTCATTACGCCTCGAGCTTTCACGATGAAGAATTTACACAGATTGAAAGCTCCCACTACCGAATTTAAATTTATTAGTAGTCGAAAGAAATATACCGACGTCTAAAAAGTTTCCTATTACCTGCCGATTTTCCTTTTAAATAGAATACATTGATTAATGTTTCAACGATCTATCGTTATTGTATCAAATGTTAATTACTTGAATGATGTTTTTTTTTATTAGTTGCAAAGTGTTAAGTGTTTATTAACAAAAATATTTGATTACTCTTAAAAGCATTTATTTCTCTTTTTCTATCTTCTTATAATTAATTTATTTATTTTTACGATTAATACAATTTCATATCGTCGAGTTTAAATAAAACTTACCTGATTATCACGATGAATATTATTACAGTATCGTCTCTGTTGATGTTGTTGTTGTTGTTGTTGTCATCGTCATCGTCTATGGAAGTTGGAAGTTTAGCGAGGAAGATCTGTTTGGAGCTAAAAGTATGCTCCTTGACGGTTCCCTTTAGCTCTTTCGGTTCACGACGGTCCAGGATGCAGGATACGCGAGAACGACGTTGGTCGGCGACTCGCTTCGTCTCCTGAGGCTCTCCTGCGGCAGGAAGTGGCTGTAGAAATTATCTTTAGACTGCGAAAGGTGGTGCTAATGCCTTTGGTCCGGACTTTCCGGCCTAATTAGCCCGGAACCATTAAGTTTATCTACGAGCTACTACCATTTCTCTCTCTCTCTCTCTCTCTTTCTTATACACACACACATACAAACTCTTATACTATCTTTCTCTATTCCACTTATTCGCTCACTCATTCACTCATTCGCGTTCTCTTCCAACAACCCCCTTTGGGAATTGCGACGTCGGAGGGAAGTTTTGCTCCAAGCTCTGCCTAACTTCGAAATGATTAAGCTCGAATAGGCGGATCCTCGTCGTACAGGGAAAAACCACCTCGACTGAGATGATGTACGATCGTTACGCGTTCGTTATCTCACCGATCCTTTGAATTTTATGAAGCATTTCAAATAGAGAACTAGATGAATAACTCCTTTAAACCACTTTACACTAATCAAATTATTAATGAACGACGACACATTGATCGAGTGAATCAATCCTTCTTTTATTCATTTTCTATAACATAAACGTGTAACCTATACGATATAAGATATTATATTTATTAGCTACATTATCCAATCTTATTTCATCTAAGAAATTTAGCAACAATTTATTAGACCAATTAAGAGAATGTATCGGGATTTAGATGAATCTTTATCCCCGTTTTCGGTGATGCGATTAAACCGCATGGTTTTGGCACGAGAACAGTAGAGTAATCGGAATCTAATAATAGTTGGATGCACTAAGCGAATACGTTTTTGCACCTATGACCGACGACGACGAAGACGACGATAATGGCCATTGCTTCTAATTAGTGCGAGCCATTAAGTTTATCTATGATCGTTAGAGACTATACTTCAATGGTGAACTTTTTGCTTGACCATAGTGATCAAATCTTTGCCGTTTATGCGTTATACCTATATTTATGATCTATGATTTATCATCATCAATAATATTAATGATTGTAATTCATATATTTTTTTTGGTCGTTTTACGCGAAATCCTAGAATAATAATTATATTATCAATTATCATTATATATCAATCGATATATTGTAATTGATTATCGATAAGATTATAGATGACTTTGTTATCGATCCTTTCATCGATGTAGCTTCAGTGATAATCGGTATCTACTTCGTCGATAGCAAAGTTAGGCTATAGTTAAACGACTGTCGCCTTTCTAGGCATGCTAAGCTTGCTACCACATCTAGCATAGTTCGCAACTCCATTATAGTTCCAGGATGAGACCCTGAACGTCATATACCTGTATATATGTATATATATATGTATATACGTAAGTATCTATGTAGATACGTATACATTCTACCTGTTAAGGTTTCGTTAGAAAGCTCTTAGTACAAAACCTTTGATAAGGTATTAACGAGATCGGAAAACAATTTCTAAAACATCAAACTTTAGGAGAAATACGAGAACTCTTACGAAGATGATACGAGAGGATTAATCCATTAAAGAGACGTTTACATTACCTTAAGATCTATTTTACTAACTTTTAATTAAGATGAACGTTGTAATTCCATATCGTCGTAACCTTGTCATTTTTAATAAACGATCTTTAACTCGTTACAAACACCTGCCTTAAATGAAATTGAAAATAATCAAAAAGATGTTACATTTTTTAAATACGATTACAAGATTTCGTATTTTTCATTTGTCAAAAGGTTTCACGTTCTTTCTTTTTTTTTTTTCTGCATGGTTTTTTTTATTTTATTTATTTTTTTTTTTGTTCATTTTGTTACATCGTGTCTTCCTATACGTCAGTATGGAAGATCCTATCATAGATTTTCGCGGTTGCTTCTACAAATCCTTTTTGCGAAAAGCCGTTCTACGAGCTTGCAAAGAAGAGCCTCGCGGCAACTCATATTATCAGGGTGTTTCTTACTTTCATTTTTCCTTTTATCCTTTCTTTCCTTGCTTCCTTCTTTCCTTTCCTTTCCTTTCCTTCCTTCGTCTCATCTCATTCTCTTTTCTTTTTACTTTTTCTTTTTGGATTTTTCTCTACGTTATTTATTATTGTCAATTTTTATTGCATTCCTTTATTCTTACAAAGCTGCGGCTTTTTTGAGCACCCATATTATATCTAGATTGTTTTTGATGGTGGTGTGTGTAAGTTTAAAACCTTATAGATAGAATTTCGATAATAAAGTCACCTATATATGATCGTAGTATATATATATATACTACGATCGATATATGACGAACATTATATTATATTATATATATGTATATATTAAAGTGTATTTAAATGAAAGTATTTTTCATTTTCATGGAATTTTTACATTCATTTTTATTAGAGAATTTTAAATTATCCTACTTTTTATCTTCTATGGTATGCGTTACTCGAGTAAAAGGAAATTATATGAAATATGTATTATTATCTTTTTATACATAATAGAATATAAATATAATGATATAAGAAAAATCATACTTGTTTAAATAACAAATTTAACATCACGCGAAATTATTTTTATCAAATTTAAGAAAAAATAAAATATAAAATATGTCTCTCTTTGTGTGACAATATTTTATAATATTTGAAAAACTTTTAACCTGGATATATTCACATATCACTCCAGATGCATAGAAATTGCAATATAATTTTCATACAATTAAAGAAGAATTTTATAAATTATTTTTTATTTTTCAAATATTTGAAATATACTCGTTCTACATTTCTTTTTTTTTTTTTAAATGTTTTAAAAAAATCTTCACTTCCGACTCTTTTATTTTTATTTTTGTGCATGTGTGTAACAGTAATGTTTAGTGCATCTCTCTCGTGTCGTCAAATGGCGGTCGCTATCAATCATAGTCTTCATTTTATCCACGTCTGTGGTGATAGGTCGTTCGGCAGGAGATGCATCTTTGACATCAAAATTTCCCTTTTCGAAATCTCCGGAAACATTTTCTGTACGTTGAATGTCATCCATAGTACCAGGTTTCATCATATACATATACATATATATATATATATATATATATATATATANTATATATATATATATATATATATATATATATATATATATATATTTTTTCTTGTCACGATATTTTGTAACACCTTTTTTTGTCTTTTCAATAATACAACAAAAAATGTAAAAAATATATCAAATGTAAAATTGAAAACAATATTACGTCACAAATCAATTGCATTGCTTTCTTATTTAACACGTTGAACGCCACGTGAATTCTTACAGAAATCTTCGTTAGGCCACGTGTGACAAAACAAAAAGTTAAATGACAGGCACCTGTGTCTGACACGATAAGTTCAGTGTCAGTTACTGATGACTGACATGACACTTTCAACGTGTTAATTAAATTATTATAATTAAATAAAATCATATTCTCACCTTAGCGTAATGAACGTAGAATCGATGTCGTATCCTTCGATCAGAATGACGTAGTTGAAGTAATAACAAATAAAATAAATAATAAATGAACAAAATATAAGATGTGTTATAACAAAAGAAATAATAATAATAATAATAATAATTGAATATTGTATAACGTGTAAGATGATGATGATAGGTTGTCGATGAACAGTCGTATCCTTGAATAAATAGGAATCGTAAGGAATTATATATATGTTGTGAGTAATATACGATAAGAGGAGAGCCCAAGAAGATTTTTGAAGACGAAGACGCGAATGCAGGAACCTCGGTAGGAATGGAAAAGGGGTATGGGTAAGGCTACAACAAAACAAAACACGATGAATGTCCTGATGTGCAAGCTGTAAGCATAAGAATAAGTTAGAAAGAGGCATAGATATTGATTAAATTATCAGTAATAATTACTATTATATTAGTAAACTAATAAAATGAAAATAAAATTAGACAAATAGTGTTGTTAGGTAAATTAGTATACCTTGACAGTGCCGCTAGATGCGCTAGAAGCGGGCGAGCGTCACGTCCTCGGCGAACGAAGAAAACTTATCCATATCTTCGATGCAAAATTTAACAAAAAAATTGAACAGAAAACACACCATTAGATTAGTTTAGAAAATTAATTCAATCTAATCATCGTTGTAATATATTAAATTTTTAAATTTTATGTACTATTTTTTTTCTTTTTTATAATATTATTAATTTAGTTATGTAGAATTATGAAGACGGGTGTGTTTCGTATGAAAAATAAAAAAAAACAATTTTTTGTTAAAACAATTTGACGTAGTTAAAATATCTACGAAATGATATGACGATGAAATATAATTCGTAATTTTTCATTGTGAAAAATATTCGTGTAATGTAATATTATGTAAATGGAGTTTAATATCGTGTAATACTTTACAAATTGACGAATTATTTCGTAATATTATTTTGTTAACTTTTGTAGAAAAATATTAAAGTACATTAGGAAAATGGAATTTATTATTTTATAGTACTTTTCATAATTGACGAATAATTGAAATTCTCTGTAGTGACTTTTAAAAAAAAAATGTGTAAAAGTAATCACTATGGAATTTTGTCCATATATTGCAGAAAGTAATTATTAAAAAAAAAAAAAGAAAAAAAAATACAAGACACAAAGGAAATAGAAATTAAACGAAAAAAAAAAAAGAAAAAAAAATACGAAAGTTATATGATATTTTGATGATAAAAAACGCGTTTTCGTTGATAGAAATATAAAACGAAACACCCTGTGCGTCTTCACATGTTTTGTCATTTCGAATCGATTAACATTACAATAAATAATCGTGGGGGAGGGGGAGGGGCCAGAGAGGAGGTTAGGGAAAAGGGCTTTTCTCGTCCTCGTACCACAGTAACGTCAGTATTTCGCAAGCTTTTCGACGACGAACACTTAGGCGACCCTTGTAAAGCTAGCGTGAATAGGATAGAAGCACACGAGGTCGTCCCAGAAACGGCCATAGTTCTATTTCCGTCGCTCGTGAATCATCCACGTTTCACCTATCTCTTTTAACGGTTCTACGACCATTATATGCCGTTCGGTCATACGATTCTAAGAGAGTCCTTTCTATCATAGTCTACGATATTACCTATTTTCGATCGTATTATTTTCATTAATCATTGTTAATCAAAATTGATGGAATAATAATTATTATTTAAATCACATATTAAAATGTGTGTGTGAGAGAGAGAGATAGAGATAGAGTGACACAATAGGAATACTATTATCATTTATTTAACGATTCAGTCAATGCAGATTTTCTCAGCTATCAATCATTGAAACGTTTTCCAAACTAAATCGTATGGGATAAAGTACAAACGTACGTTGTATTTTGCGTTTGTTAACTAATTACGAGTTAGAGACATAATGCGTAAACGAGGACATTAAACCATCGGACCGATGCTAAACACTGAATTGTCAACAAAACTTGTACGTTCAATCGACTCTATACTCGACTCAACTGGACTCGTTGACAACTGAAATTTCATTATTATTATTATGTTACAATCAGCTTGATCAAGCTTACACCATTTTCCAAACTTCATTATGTACAGATCGATCAGTTTCACGTTTCGGTAAGAGTAATTGATGAAAATTAGTTATAACGAGGATGACATTGGAAACCGGGGGGGAAAAAAAACAAAACATCATTTCTCTTATTTGCAACAGTGCAAACTGGGAAATTGGAAATCCGTGAGGACGTAGAGTACTATGATGCATCTCGAAGGATATGGGAAGAGAAGGTTATTACTAAGGTTCAACCAAACGATGTTGTATGTATTATGTACATAGTCGAACAGTGTATATATCGGATGTTCGTAGATGTATTCGACGGCACCCGTACGTTAATACGCATCAGACTACATTTCACGGTTGATCGAGATTCGCGCTAGCTCCATAGACAATTTCCCAAAGGGTTTCGGAACAGTATAATGGGCTAGCCAAGGTATAACGTGGCTACCTAATTCTATAGCATTAGGTCAGAGTCGTGCGAAGGGATAACTCGGATAACTGCTGCTTTCTCTCTCTCTCTCTCTCTCTCTCTCTATTCCTTTATCTCTCAGTCTCTCTCGGGTAAGATATAGGGAGGAGGGGGGGGGTAAATTTGTCAATAAGGAAAATACGAAGGAAAAGGTTTGTCTGATTGAAGACTTATAAAAATGTCAATCAGTGTGTTATATTTTATTCGGTGCATAAAAGGTTGTGTCTGTTTCAAAAGCGTTGAAATAAAATAAAATTAATCACGATTGATAAATAATAGATTATTTTTGTCGAAGAAATAATTAATTTGACAAATGTTCTTCTTTTTTTTTTTTTTTATTTATTTATTACTAACTACTACCACGATTATCAACATCGGACAACTGCTTAAAATAAACTCGTTAAATGACTCATGGGAGTCGTTCCGTATATATTTCTATAATTATTTTCTTACTTGTTTTTTTTTCTTTTTCTTTTTTTTTTTTTTTTTCAAAAGAGTACAAAATAAAATTCACCGAACCGTTATCTTTGGTGTAAAGGAAGAAAAAAATAAAGCATACAGAACACACATACACAAAGGTAGAATTGTTTATGAAGGAAATAGCAGCATTGGAGATTCACGGGGGAGATAGAAGGTATATTTCCTTTTTGCATATAGTCCGATGGTTAGGCGGATCGAGTCGATGGAACGTCGTCCTGTTAGTCGTTATGGTTTAACGCGTCCACCCTTTTCCACCATCGTAATGCGAATTCATCGTCGGTGAAAGAGAGAGAGAGAGAGAGAGAGAGAGAGAGAGAGAGAGGAAAGCGTCGAGTCGGTCGTTCGTGTAAACATCGCGTGCACTTCGTTTCGAGTGACAACAGAAATTCTGCGATTGCGCTTCTACGTTCCCAACGAAGGGCCGTAGGTACCTATAGTTAAACTGTTAGAGTGAGAGAGAGAGAGAGGAAGGCAGGCAGGCAGGCACAATTCGAGTAGGACGATTCGAGCTTGCGAAGCTCGATATCTACCAAGCAAACTCGTGCTTTTGCGTTTGGAACGTTGAACGAACGATTAAACATTCGTGACTAGATGATGATAGGTACGTTGACCGAATGTTTGCAATTTTATTGATCTATCTAATATTACTATTTCTTATGAAGTCATTTCTCACATTAATTTATTATTGTTTTTGTTATTACAATTTCTCGAACTATCTATTGCAATTAAATATATTTGAAATTTGATGTTTCCTTTTATTTTATTTTTTTTTTTTTGAAAATTATTTCATTAAAACAAAGTTAGATTATTTGATGAACTTATAGATATTTGTTATTGCAATATCTCGAACTATCTATTGCAATTAAATACATTTGAAATTTGATGTTTCCTTTTATTTTATTTTTTTTTTTTTGAAAATTATTTCATTAAAACAAAGTTAGATTATTTGATGAACTCATAGATATTTTGAGATATTTCTATTTAAATTTTTTCAACTAGTATAATTTTGATTTATCTATCGTTTAATATTATATCCTCATAAATAAGAAATAATCGTATTATAAACGTGAGATAATTTAAATGAACATCTTTTTAACGTGAAAATATTATTAACTATTTCCCAGGTGGAACCTCTTCGTAAGCCAATATTTGATCCACCCAATTCATCTTGTATCCATCATAATTAAATCTTTTATATTATCATTTTTTAATAAAACAATTTTTCTATAAATAACGATTCTCTAACACGTGTCTATGTTTTAATTCATGGTTTCGTAATATTCGATTATAAAAAATAATCAATCGTTTGATCAATCGTTAAGATTAAATTATCTTTATTCATTCTGAGATTATTTTAAATTGAATAATTTTGTCTGTTACTCGATTACCTTCCAGACCTAATAAATTTTTTTCATTTTATCATTATCATTCTATTTTCTATTCAGATATAAGTGGTTACCACCGAATTAACCGCAAAACGGGAAAAAATTGGAAATAGGACATTTCTCTTTCACGTTTATCCCTTTTCATTTTGTTTTTTATTTTTTTTTTTTTTTTGTAATTATTTTTTTCCTTTCTCATTTTCGTTTCTTCTTTTTCTCTCTTTCTCTTTCTCTTTCTCTTGGTTGTATACAGATACAGTCGTAGAAACATTTATCATCGACCACGACAAGCTTTATCGCGCACCACCACCCAGGGCCTTTCGTTATTTTATTTTGCAAAAAAAAACAAAAACAAAAAAAATAGAAAAAAAATCCTTTGTTAGGTGATGGGAAAAGTTGAACGACAAAAAATTACGAAACAGTAAAATAAAAAAAAAAAATAAATAAAAAAAGAAAGAAAGAAAGAGAGAGAAGGAAGAAACGAAAGGGGGGGGGAGGGGGTGAGATAAAGTAAGTAAAGGGTTGGGGTAAAGCTTATAATCGACGGATCCGATCACACGTGAGAATTTATTCTGTGGTACCAACACACATCAAGCTTTTGTGGTCAATATATCCCTGCCTCCCTGCAACCCTCCCTCCGCCCCTTTCCTCTTTCCCAGTTTTTTTACTTTCTTTCTTTCTTTTCTTGTTCTTTTTCTTTTATTTATTTATTTTTTTTTTTTTTATAGGTATACGTTTTAAATCCGTCGATCAACGACATATCGTTCTCTCTCTCTCTATCTCATTTATCGGTACGAACGTACGAACGTACGAACGAACGTACGAACGAAACTACGAACGAACGAACGAACGAAACTACGAACGAAACTACGAACGAACGAACGAACGACCACTTTAATTTATTTCTCATGTTCCCCGTTGGATTCATCGTTGTTATCCAGTTTGGTGTATGTGTGTATATATATATACATGATTGCACGTATCCTTTTGCAATAATAACCAACGGTAGAGATCGACAAAACAAGCGTGCTATGTGTGCCTAGAGATGAAATATATATTTTTTTTGTCCTCTTTACTTTTTTTTTTTTTTTTTTTTTTTTT